TTGAAAGCCTGCTCATTGTTCTTATATATTTGTGATGAAACAGTTGTGTTTCATTTACCTATTGTTGTCTTTGTTAAAGGGCATTTCCTAGGGCCTGGTCTGAAAAGGATAACAGCTTAGGGGGGAAGGAGCAACTGCCAGCCAATCAGATGTGTTCCCACTAAGGATCATGACAGAGTCTCGCTCTTTCCTGTGGGCTTTGCTGCTGGGTGGTGGCAGAGAGAGCTGCTCTGTGGGGAGACAAAGTGGATGGCTGCTGTGGGAAGCCCAGTAATGAGGATACAGAACCAGGACCCAAATTTAAGTAAGAAATTGTTAGATTTACAGTTAATCTTAGTCTATGTTTGCCCAGGCTGTGTTTTACAAGACTTTTCCTCTCAGAGCTATCTGGGGCTGGGCCACAAACGTTTAGGGCTTGCCAGGCCTGTGTAATTTACCTCCACCTACTGAACTACAAAAGCATTTCCCCACTAAGCTGCAGGTTCAAATACCCAAATTCAACCTACTTTGCAAGAAAACTACTGTTACCGTTCCCATCTTTATATTTAGATGAATGTGGCTTTAGTGCTGTAAGTAATTTGCTACTGAAGAAAAGAAATCGACTGGATTTTACTGAATGAGGAGCCTTGGGAATGAAGCTGACTAAACTGGAGTCTAATATAAAATCTTTCTGCAGCAGACATCAAGCACAAGGATCTCATTAACTTAATTAGACTAAACTGCAATCCTACAACATTTTCCCAGAAGTAAGCCTAATTGAAGACAATGGTACTTACTTCTGAGTAGACATGCATAGGATTGGGTTGTAAATATGATCTTGAGGTGAACTCAAATTGTATTTTGAATTTGTTAGAATTTTTTTTTTAATATGCATAGTAATTAATATGATCAAAGTATTATAGAAAAAGCTTTCATTAAAATTATTTTATATTTATGCATGTCAGTTCTCTATTATATGTTTTGAAACTTTATTTTTTGTTTTTTTTCATATTCCTTCATACTATTATTTTTTTAAGTTCCTCAGTACTTCTACTGTCTTTTGTTCTTTTATTTTTCTCTTTCATGGATGCCATGTTCTTTTGAACCTTGTTTAAACCAAGTTAATGGCCTTTTAGGCTTCCTCTGTGTAAGTAAGAATTCACTTTTTGAATAGTAAGAATTATATATCACTGGGGGGGTATTTCAGAGATGCTTAGGTGGGGCATGGCCCAAAAAAGGTTGGGATCCATTGATCTAGATGGTCTACTTCAAATACAACAAAGCCTCCTCCCAGAAGATAACAAGGAAAACCGCTTATGGAGAGGATGTGTAGTATCCCTGACAATACTGTGGACCCTGATCATTAGTAATAATTAAGGGAATATAGTCTAAGGAAATACTCATCAAGCATAAACTTGTAAAGCTGGCAAATCTCACGCATAAGCAGGTCATAATTTGGATCAGCTATATTTTTTAGATTATTTTCAAGGGCACTTCAATGTAGACTTTTCTGCAATAATTCAAACAATAAATGACTAAGGCATAAATGATCATCCACAGAACTTCTTGATCCAGGAATAGCCATATCTGGTACATGAGATATAGAAGTCATCTAACTATGAGGAAGACCTTCAAGTCCAAAAGGACCTCCAGCTTATGATTAAATTCAAAATCAGCATCTATGACCAACAATGAAATACTCAGATGGTCTCCAAACCCAAAGCAACTCCCATCTTGCTGGAATTGAACCTACATCATGTGAAAAAGAAATCCTTTTTGAGTTATATGGTTGAGTTCTATACATATCAGGATATAGTAAAAATTGTCTTATCCTTAGCAGTTCTTAAAAGTAGGTAAATATAACCTTAGATGAACAACATATGACAACCTGATTTGATTGATTTGAAATGACTGATAAAAGGTTGAGATATTTAGTGTATAATTAGTATAATTAGATATTTAGTGATAAAGTCTATTATTAATAAAGCCAAGCCCATAAAGCTGATCATAGCCAAAAGCACACATCTATTAGGTTTATTTAAAGAAAAAAGTGTTAGTTAGAGAATTTTGTTAGGAAGAGATATTTGTATCCATTTGTACTAAAGTGAATGGGCAGATTCTTCTGTTCTACAGTATTTTCTCAGTCTGTGATTCATATTCCAGACTCAACATTCCATACAGGTGGTGTCAGCAATGGAACTTTGGAGGAAAAAAAGGAATATGGAGAAGAAATGAAAGGATAAAACTGGAACAACTTTAGTAAAAATAAGTTTTTATATATGAATAAGACTTATGTAAAAAGCATTTAAATATAAATTAGTCTACCAGCATAATGTATGGAAATGACGTACGAAAAAACAGTGAAGAAACCTTCCTTAAAACGCAAGAATTATTATGTCAGAAAATGCTGCAGAACTGTCAGGGGCACTATGTATGAAAAAGATATTACGAGAAATGATAAAATGAAGGAGGCTATGGAGAGAAACGTCTTCAAATGACAGGAAGAAAAAGTAAGATTAAATAAGGCAGAAGAAATGCAGAGCAATTTGGTGAAAAAGGCCTTTGGGCCTAGCAGATACTTTTTAGCATAACAGCTTCTATATTTTAATATATCCTTTTCCTGAGGCTTTCCAAATTTGAATGTGGAGATACCTGGCAACAAAATAATTGGTTTATAATTGATGATAATTTTAATTGCTTTATAGCTTCTACATAACTTGCTTTAATTTAGATGTTCATATCTAATTTTTGCTTCTGTGCCTTTGACAGACTGATTTTCTTACAGTTTCACTCATCCTTCATTGTGTTTTTTCATATCACTAGTGACTTAACAGGTCCAGCTGCCATCAACACTTCATGTACTTGTTTTACCTCTATAAATACATAATGAATCATTTCAGCAGTGTGCTGGCACCTACTGAAATCATATTTCAATGGAGAAGCAGCAGTAAAGTAATCAAAATAGTATTTTGATCTCTTCTTTGTGGTAGGCAAGGAGGAACTAAAGACTATTGTCAATATAAACAATTACTGGAAGAAACTTTCTGCATGCTGTTTTAGGAGTTTTTCTGGGTCAATCCTCTGTGAAACATGCTGACTTAAGCATCAGCTTTGAACACACTGTAATATGTTCACAGAGATTTAGGTCAAACAAAGGCTGCCCTAAGTAATTTTCATCATTTAATTTTTCAGGAACAGTTATTAATGTAAGAGCTGTATTAAATAATTTCTGTAAGCCATAGCTGTTGATCAGAATCTTGCAGTGTTCTGGGAGGAAATTAGTCCCATTATGGGAGAAAGTGGTAACATTGTGAGCATAAAAATTTATCAACACGTGATATAGATTTAACCTCTGGATTGGAATATATGCATGTGCAGTATTTTCAAGTGGTGTTATATCTGTTCGTTATTTCTAGGCTAGGGAGAAAAATGTTTTGTGTGGGAGACTGTCAGCCCTTTCATTTAGGCCAAGTCAAGAAATTGCATCCATAAGTCTGGTTGGTATTCTGTTGATATAGGCTTATTAACAGAATCTTGACTTTTTGCCTTTCCCTTCGTACATTCAGACAAATTAGGGAAAAGTCAGTCTAAGCTTCTTCATCATGCTTTCTGTTTTGTAGGCTTAAAGCACATTTTTATAACCCTTGTTTCTCCAAGATCTTTTTCTCTCACCTCACCTTACACACACACACACTCACACACATGCACGCACACCTGGCTCTTTACAGGCATGAAGAGTTTTGCAACAATATCTGATGATAAACCAGGAGACAGGAAATTAGAGCTCTCTACTTTCATCAGTTGGACTTGGTCTCAGATTTAGCCAAGGATCTATTAAGGATATTGCTGGAATAGAAAAGCTATAGTTGCCATATCCTTATTAATTTGTATCTTTGGAAAGAAACAATCCTATCTAATAAAGTAAGGATATTCAAATACTTTTGGGAAGAACTTGCTAATGCGACAATGTTACAAACAAGTCCCAAAGAAAATGCAGCCTAATTCTAGCTATGTGACAGCATAAGAAATCTGAATTAGCATTTAGAAATTATGATTGAATGATTTCAAAGGTTGTGGTATTCAGATAGATTTATAACAGCCTTTCTTACATTATTAACTGGACCTGTCAAAATTGCCATCTCATTCCTGCGCTTTGCATTCGGTAGCTGCCAGTCTGCCATGAACTATGGGGGAGCTGGATGGGAGGGGGGAAGGCTAATGACTCCTCATACCTTCTAGAGACACAACTTCAAGGTCAGACAGCCTGGAAAGGCATGCACCTCCGAACTGCCTACTCTACAGTTGAAAAGACTGTTCCCAAAACATTTTATTTGAATATGATTCAACAATGAGGGGTCAACAATGGAAAGGGACAAAGGAGGAAACATTAACCATGAAAATTTGATGTGCAAACCTCAGTTCTGGCTTTGCTATACTGTAATCCACTTAGCCCTTAGTAAAGTAAATCTTTTACACCGAATGGAGTAGTGGGTCATTCTTGCTTAATGGACCAAACTTTTCTTGAATATATGTGTGTTTGTGTGTGGGATGCATGAATGGTATTTGACTTTTTTTTGCTGTAAATAAATCTCATAGCTTTTCATTTTTCAAACTTCCCATTTTATTAAGTTTCCTAATAATCCTCTGGCTTTCCACTTGGAACATTTTGATAATTATGACTTAAAGTCACATTGGGTTAATGGTGGTAAAGCATGAGTAAATTAAGTGGGACCTAAGTTCATATGTTAAATAATTTTTCTTTATATTTAATTCATGATTACTGGCAGTCCTACACATGTTTACGCCAAAGTAAATTCACTTTTCCTACAAGCAGTTTATTACTAAATAACTGGGTATAGATTAAATTCATTCCTTCAGGTAAAATTGGTAAATATATTTTATACTGAATAAACAGGTACTTAAATAGTAGTATATATAATCCTTGTTCATGTAGATTAGAGAGCAGTTTGATTCCTTATAATAACCTGTTTCCCTAAACTCTCTTCAAAATTTGTTCCCTAATTATAATTATATAGAAGAAGAAAATTGCTAAACATACTAAGAGCCATCTGTATTTTGTATATTGAAAGATAACTACATCTAATTATTTTATTTAGGTCTAATTACATTTATCTGAAAAAGAGTAAGCAAATCAAATTTACTTTTTATGATTGCTTTGATATTTTTTGGGAATGTGACCCCAGCTTGCTAATGAAAGGCCATGTGTGTCAAGCTCATGACATACAACATATAGAATATCTAAATATTGTTATATAAAGAGCTCACTTCTGCAATTAACTATATTATATACTGTGTATTATTTCTTATTTTAAATGATGTAATTCTGCTATAGAAATCCTTAACTATTGCCATACATATAAAATTGCCTTGGATTCTGATGCTCCAGAGTATGGAGGACATAATAGACTGGATCATACTACAGACTTTTTTTCTCAGCCATATTCACATAATCATCGATCTAATTCTCTTTTGGTAAGTACATTTTTTCTACTGTAATTTCTTTAAAGTATATCTTCAGAGAGATAGTTAATATTTTAAATTCTGTACTAAATGTCTGCATGTTGCCTTCATCTTTTCCCTTTATAAAATATGATCATTGATCTTGCATGAACAATTATAAAAGTAAATGACATAAAAAAGTACTATATGGCATAAAGTGTTGGCTAAACAATTTCTCAATATTTTAAATTTTATATAACGATTCTGACCTTCCAAATATGCATATAATAAATTTAACAATTTATTTCTGTGTACATTTTTGTTTTCCTGATTTTTTTTTGTTTTTTAATGTTTAATATACCAATAATATGCTTGTTTAATTCTTTGCATGTAAGCATCCTGTGATTTTCATTGCTAATATTTTAATCAACTGGGATCATCTATTAAAACTTCTGTAGTTTATCTCTTACACAATATGAGAATTTAAGTATTAAAAGTATTTAACTTAGTAATGCAAGCATACTATTTTTTATTTTCTTTTTAAGGTTTAATTTAAAAACAGACAATAAAACAATATGGGGTAAACTTGCATTTGATGCACTGTTTAATTTTTTTAATTTTTATGTAGAGATTCTTATAAAATGTATTCAGTGCAAAATTTTGATCACATTAAGCATAAACTACAGTCCCCCCCCCTAAAAAAAATGTAACCAGACTAGAATAATGTTGGATTCCTTTTCTTTCTGTCCTTTTCTTTTATTCACTGGGAAAATGTATTCACAGTTTAGGCTATCTTTAAATTCAGGGTAAACAACATTAAATAGAGCACAAAAAGGAATTTAAAATGTACTTAAGACATGAGATCATAAAAGAAAATAATATACAGATAATTTATTCCAGTAGAATTCATAATTCTAGTTTATTTCATGTATTTCAGTTCTTTCTTCCATCATGTCCATATGCCAATTAATATATTGCCAATTTTTTAAAATATTCTCATTTCCCTCTTTCTTCAAGAACTTACCAACTTCTTCCAATCAAAATTTCTTGGTTTTCTTCTCCCTATTATTCACCTGTTCATTCTCCCTTCATACATTTGTTTTGAAATGTACCTCAGTGTATTTTATTTCTAGTAGTCACTCACTTTTGTGTTCAATGAATATTCATTCAGCACTTCTGATCTGCCAGTAGTATAACTTACATTTGTTCACTCACATTTTCCTTTAGCATTAAAAAATCTTGGATTGTATATATAGATTATTATACCCATTTCAATTCATATATTCTTATCATTCAGTCATACTAGCATTCATTACAAATCATTTTGTGTATGTGACTTCAGATGCATACAAAATATAAATCAACAGCTGTGTTGTAAACTTCTCATTTGAGATTTCTCAATGACTTACTAAAGGGTAAAAAGTCTGATCTATACACCCAATGTCACAAAGCAACACTGTACTTCCCAAATAATACTTCCCTCTTATGTTTTTAATCATAGTTCTGCCAAAGAGCATCTTAGATACACTTAACCTACCTTGTTGTTTTTCATTCTTCCTATTTTTCCTCTCCTATAACCGGACAATAGCAGCAGTCTTTCATCATCATGCACAGATGCAGTATTCCTAAACATGTTAAACAAATTATCAATTGTTGTAAGCAAGTCACATCTATATGTCACTATCTTATGTGTTGCCATCAATTCTAAATCAGCTAAGGTGCTTTCAGATCCAATCATTTATAGACTACATATTTTTTATTGTATATACTTGAGCCACTTTTGTCTAGTGATTAAAACATCATGCTAGAAACTGGAAGATCCTAGTGTCACTTTAGCCATGAAATCTAGGTGGGTGAAACTCTTAGCCGAACTCACCTCACAGGGCTGTTGTGCGGAAAATAGAAAGCAGTATTAGATATGTTCACCATTTTGAATTGCTTGTAAAAAAAATAAGGTGGGATATAAATAAAATAAATAAACAACTAAATACAATACAGTATCAGAAACCAACTATGGTCATAGTTGTCTCAAAAGTGCTTTTCTAGAGACACCTGAGCTTT